CGCCACAATGCCCGGCTATTTTTTGGTTGCAGCCATTATTGTTGTTTGGCAGGCCCAGGCTGGATTCGAACCCGCCAGCTCAGGCATATGTGGCTGGCACCTTAGCCGCTTGAGCCACAGGTGCCAAGCCATCATCAGAAGCATTTTTAAGAAAACATGTGCTGCTTCCTATTCCCACCTCTTCCTGAACACACATCATCAAAACTGAGGTTCATATCCTTATTCTAATTACCTACATTAAAAACAAACAAACAAGGAATATTTAATCAGTTAAATGATGGCCATTTAATATGTGCACAGTATAGTATGGGTCAAGAGGCAAAGAAGATGTAGTTCATTTTAGAATTATTCCTTTTTAGAATGGCAACTTTTTAAAACAATATTAAAAATTATCTGCTCATTTGTTCTGTTGCTTGGCACCATGTAAAGCATGAAATGGGAGAAGCAGCAAAGAGATAATATGTTCTTGAACTAGCTAACTAATAGAAGAAAGAGATCAATACAAAAATAGTGCAAAGTCAAGTGTGCTAAAATAGGGAATCCAGAAGGATAGAGGAGATCAAGGATATTGAAGAAGAGGTAACCAATAATTACAGCTTCCAGTTACTGGGGAAAATTAGTTACTAAAGAGACTTTCCAAGAATTAATGTAACATCTTTCCCTTTTATAACCAATAAAGTGGGCTCGGTGCCTATAGCTCAGCATCTAGGGCACCAGCCACATACACCAGAGCTGGCGGGTTTGAATCCAGCCCAGGCCTGCTAAACAACAATGACAGCAACAATCAAAAAATAGCTGGGCGTTATGGTGGGTGCCTGTAGTCTCAGCTGGTTGGGAGGCTGAGGCAAGAGAATCGCTTAAGCCCAAGAGTTAGAGGTTGCTGTGAGCTGTGACGCCATAGCACTCTATCCAGGGCAACAGCTTGAGATTCTGTCTCAAAAAAAAAAACCAAAAAAAGTTTGCACAAGGAAGAAATTGCAAAATATGATAAAGTCTCATCTTCTATTCAAATTCATGAAGCGACTCTTGTATTGAAAGCCATAAACTATAGAGTGACATCATTTCTAGGAACTTACTCTTAGGAAATTATTTTGAAATAATAAAAGGATACATGTAAAAAAATATTCAGCACATTTGTCTATAATTGCAAAAAAAAAATGAAAAACAAATATAGGAGAATGATTAAATAGGGTTTATCTCCTTAAAAAATGAAAGATGAAGCCTAAAGCATAAGGAAAAATGTTTTCTGACATATTAACTTTTAATAGCAGGAATCAAACTGTAGGGACTGTGATAGTCCCTTATCAATATATAAATGGACAGATGAAACCTATCGACGGATAGGCAGGCAAACAGAAAATGCAGAAATAAACTTGATTTTTTAGACACTCAGAAAATATGTGTGCCCTCATTTTTAAATTTCATTTTATATTGCTTTTATATTGTTTCAGTGATACACACTTTCAAAGCCCCATCCTATCATACCCAGTCTTTGTAACTCTGGGCCCTGAGAAAAGGCAGGGCCATGAGAAGCATCATAAATCCAAGAACAGGGTGGTTGGTAAGGAATTGTTTGATACAAAGAGAAATGCTAGGCTGGGCATGGTGGCTCACACCTGTAATCCTAGCACTCTTGGAGGCCAAGGCGAGTAGATAGCTTGAGCTCATGAGCCCCAGACCAGCCTGAGTAAAAGTGAGGCCCTGTCTCTACTAAAAATAGAAAAGAAAAAAAAAACTGAGGCAAGTGGATTGCTTGACCCCAGGAGTTGGAGGTTGCTATGAGCTATGATGCCATGGCACTTTACCCAGGGTGACAGCTTAAGACTGTTTCTCAAAAAAAAAAAAGAGAGAGAGAGAGAAATACTGAAAGAGAACAGGGCGAGGCCTTCTCAGGAGAAAAGGTCTAAATAGGGAAAAGAGAAAAGTGTTCTACTATGCCTACGGGACAAATGAATTCCTGAGAACTCCTGGGCTGTGTAGGCCACAGCCACTGTGCTCTTGGCTCTGCCCAAATCAAGGGGAAGAGAAAGGCTAAGTTCTAAAAAGCCAGAACTTGAATGGCTCCTGGGGAGTTAGAGAAGCCAGATGGAAAGCCTGAGTACATAGAAAATGGATTTTTTCCCCCTTCATCCACTCACTACTCAATGCCCCATTCAATCGTCCACTAGCTATTTCTTAACTGCTGTGTATCAGGCTCTATGATAACTGCTGCAGATACAATGCTGAGCCAACCCTGCCTTCATGGAGCTTACAGTCATGGGCGAGCCTAAAGCCATTAGCACTTAACCTGTCATCAGTGCTGACCTTAATATAATCTTAATGTCTCAAATGCTTTTCCATAAATAGCATACTTACAAAGTATTTTTGCTCAAAGTTTAACCTAAACCTAATAGTATTTAGCTCTCATTTCCAATTACTAGAATTATAGGGGATAGAACAAATTAATGGATGCCATAAGGAAACAATCAGATAAATCCAGAATGTGGGGCATTGCTCTGGTCTCTTCAGAAAATCAGAGGCATAGGAGAAAGTGCAGGAAATAGGGAATGGTGGGAGTGCTGTGTGGTTCCTAACTGGGTCCTGGCTTGGGGAGGAAAGAAAAAGACTAACCAATATACCTGGGGGGGGGGTAACTGGGAAATTCTGAATAAAAGCCGAGTATTAGAATTATTATTATATTATAATTTCTAGGTGGGATAATGGTATTGAGGCTAGGTATGAAAATTCCCTAATTTTTCAAGGAAGCAAGCTGAAAAATTTAGGCGTGAAGCATGCTATTATCTGTGATTTACTTTGAAATGGTTCAGCAAACAAAGAAAAACTAGAAGGGTGAATGGAAGGACAGATGAATCAACAGTAAATACAGCAAAATACAACTGCCAGATCTATCCTGAGGGTCTATGGGTATTAATGTACTATTCTTTACACTTTTCTGTATGCTTGAAATTTTTCCTAAGACAAGGTTTACAAACTACTATATGAGACCCTATCACAGAATCCAATCACAGGCACAGGTGGGGCAAATGCACACAACAGAAAACCGCTTGTAGTAAGTCAACCATCCCTCCCTCTGCAGGCAGGCGGGCCTCTCTAGACACCTGGCCTTACCACACCTTACCTCAATCAGAGCCCCCTTCTCCCTGTCCTCAGATTGCTTAGCGCTGTCCAGTTCATCGTGCATTTCTGAGAGTTGGTCCTGGAGATCCCGGATCTCAGTCTGGTGCTGTTCCCGTTCCATCTTCACCTGGAACAGCCTAGCAGGAAAGGAGGCTCATCAGGGAGACTCTCCTAGGCTCTGCTGTGATTTCAGACCTTCAGTCACACAGTATCCTCTAAAGCCCCTGGCAGCCTCCCATTCCCTGCTCTGCACTCACTGAACAAGGAATCACCAACCTACAGAGGCACCTGGTAAGGACTCATAGCTTGGTCTAATTTGGCCTAATAGAAGGACAAATAAGAACTTAAACCTGGGGCGGTGCCTGGGGCTCAAAGGAGTAGGGTGCCAGCCCCATATGCCGGAGGTGGCGGGTTCAAACCCAGCCCCCAGTCAAAAATAAATAAATAAATAAACCTGCCAAAAAAAAAAAGAACTCAAATCTGTCAAATGGAGGTTATAAGACATTTTCTCCCCAAAGGAATATCATCCTATGACTAAAATTTGGACACAGAAGACGAGGAAATGACAAAAACCAATTCTGTTGATGTTTTTTTCACTAAAGCCATTTTACTCAACCATCTTCTACTACCCCTGTATTCTAGACCAGGACAGCCAGCAAATCATGACCTATGGGCCAAATCGGCCCACTGCCTGTTTTTATAAATAAAGTTTTACTGGAACCCAGTCATGCTCATTCATTTATAAGTGGCCATTTCCATGACAGACTGGAAGAACCGAGTGGTTACAACAAAGACTATATGGACTGCAAACCCCAAAATAGTCATTATCTGACAATATGTGGGTTGCCAACCTCTGCTCTAAAGGAAACTCACAATTATTGAACCCTTATATTTTATTAAGTCTTTCCTATATCCTACATTTTCTGATTTTTTTCCTTACTAACTGTTCTGAAATCAGCTTCTATGAATGTTTTAAAAGCAAAAATTCCACCATCAAAATTGCAAGGGCAATCAAATGCTTTGATTACCAAAGGTCCTATTTTTTTTTTTAATTTCCCTCTAGATTTGACTCCTACTTATACTTCTACTTCAGGCTTCTATCATGTCCACAGGGCACCTTGGCATTGAACATTTTCACGTTGGTTTTAGATCCTTTTGCCACAGATTTTAATACAACACCACAGCAGGGCCACCTTGGACCTGACTCTCCTCCTCCGGAGACTCAGAAGAGGTAGATAAGCGCCAGAGACAGGCACCACCCATGATAAAATTCATAAGCTGTGAGATGGTGGAGGCCACATGACACCTGCTTTTTAGATGCTGGACCCAGGCTCCTTGAAATCTGTCTTTAGATATCACCATTTAGCATTCCCTGCTTCCCACTAACCTGTCACAAGATCCACTTTAAGGGCTGAAACTTTATAAGACACACTTCAAGGTGTACAAGGAATTTTAATAATTGTTAGCTTTCCTGCTTATCAGTCTACACGTGTTGCCAGCTTCACAATTTTACAAGGATAAGAGGGGGACAAAAAGAGTGGGCAGTCTTTGCAAATATTTGGAAGGCTGGGCAGTTCGAACAGGACAAAAGTGGTCTGGCTACAGAACCCAGGAAGGAGGTGGGACCAGAACTCACTCCTCCAGGTTCTTGCGGAGCTCCCCTTCACTTTCCTCCAGCCGCTGCTGCAGCACCGAGTTCTCTTCCACCTTCGAGTCATGTTGGCTCCGGAGCGCTTCCAGGTTCGTTCTCATTCTCTCTCTCTCCTCCTTGATGTTATGCTGATTCTAACACGAATCGGTGTGAGGGGTAAAGTGCCTCCCCCTGCACCTTCATACGCCCCCACAGAGCCCACTTCCAACCTCCAGCCGATGCCATCTCCTGGCACTTCAATGTTATTAAACCACTTAATCCCACTACATAATTAAGGCATAGGAGTTTGTAACTAGAAAGAATATTAAATGTTTATATGCAATAAATTCTAATACTAATAAAAGAAAAACGCACACACAGCTACACCTCACTTGCGGCTGCTGTTACTTAGTTGAGATGTTTTATACATAGGTAGTTTCCAATGGGCCTGCATGAGTGCACACCAGTGTTTCTTGGACTCCTTCAAAGCAAACAGTCTCTGAATGCTTTGGTTACTTAAAAATAAAACTGATCTGGTCAGCAACAGCCAAATACAAAGGAATTTACTCGGTGATGAGAGGAATGTTTCTTCTGGGGAGGAAAAAAATGGCTTTCTTTTACCCAAGTATCTTAATGTGCATAAAATATTCTTTATCAACCAAGACAGAAATGGAAAAGATAATAAAAGGGAAAACCCTGATACCTTGACTTCCAGTTGAAGCTGTCTCTGAAGTTCAGCCACTTCTACCGTTAACTTGTTTTTCTGTTCCAGTAGATCTTTGATTTCAGATGAAGAATTAGACACCTATAATTAATTACAAAGATATCCTAATTTAAATGTTCAGGATGCTTCATTTTCATTCTCTTCCCTCCCCAGATATAATCAGTGCAGTTATTATGGATGAGGCATAACACTAAACCTCGTGAGACCCAATTCAAATGTAAACCCCTGCAGAGAACTTTCCCTGACTTCACAGGCAGAGTTAATCATGCTGCCCGCACGCACCCCTATGCCTGGCACCCTTGGGACTTCACTGAGCTTTATTTTATAGTATTTACTACAGTCATAGGAATTATTTCATCGGATATCTCAACACAAGTCCAATATGACTAAAATTCACATAGGTGGCATATTTATTAGAAGTCCATAATGTGTAGAATATTCTAAAATATTAACATAATAAATTGAGGATAAGTAAAACTTGAAAAGCTTCTCCATAATAATCGATAACCTAGCTTCTCTATCCTAGATTCCAGTTCATAAAAATGAGCAGTTAACAAAAAATCAGCAACAAAATCTTTCTGTAAGTAAATTGGGGAAAGACATTCGTTTTTCTCTTTTAACGACAGGCCACCACTGAGCTTCACTGTTTCTCCAGAGTAGTCTGAGAATCACTACCTTAGATTATGAACTTTTGGAGGGCAGGGACCATGTTTTATGTATCTACAAATCTACAGAACCAAACACTTCCCCTACATGTAATTAATGTTTTGTTTTGTTTTGTTTTTTGGCCACGGCTGGGTTTGAACCCACCACCTCCGGTATATGGGGCCTTGATTGTTGGAATTCAATTTTTGTCATAATACAGTAGCCAATATCAGATTTACCCTCCCACCAAGAACTGGGAAAGCCAGATAAGATATAGAGAACTGTTTGCAGGCACTGAAAATCAGCCAAGGCAGGGTCATAATCCTTGAACGGGAAATACATGAGATAGTCCCACATTCATCCTGTGTTTTCCCTGACTGCATTTTAAACCACAGCACAGTAAAATTGTTAAAGCCCAAACAATGAGAAACCCAACAGTGAGAAACCACGCCTCTTAGAATGGCCAAAATCCAAAACACTGAAAACACCAAATGCTGGTATTTTCATTCATTCATTGCTTCTGGAAACGCAAACTGGTAACAGTCACTTGTGTGACAGTTTCTTACAGAACGAAACATGTTCTTACCATATGACCCAGCAGTTGTGCTCCTTGGTATTTGCCCAAATGAGCTGAAAACTTAAGTCCTCACAAAAACCTGTGATGGATGTTTATAGCAGCTTTATTCATAATGAACGAAACTTGGAACAACGAAGATGCTCTTAGTTCAGTGCATGGATCAACTGGTATGTCAGGTGATGGAATATTACTCAACACTGACAAAAAATAGGCTATCAAGCCCTTACAAGGCGCGGGAGGAAAACTTCAATACATATTACTAAGTGATATAAGCCAATCTGAGAAGGCTACATACTGTATGATGCCAAACACATGACATCCTGGAAAAGACAAAAGTATGGAGACACTAGAAAAGTGGCTTGGTGTCAGTGGTTAGAGATGGAGGGACAAACAGCAGAAAACAGAGGACTTGTAGGGCAGTGACACTATTGTGTATGATGCTATAATGGTGAATACATGTCATTATACATTTGTTAAACCCATAGAATGTGCATTCCAAGAGGGAACCCTAATGTAAACTGTGGACTTTGGGTAATAACGATGTGTCCAGATAGGTCCACTGATTGTACCAAATATGCCACTGTGGTCCAGGATGCTAACAGTGGTGGAGGCATGTGTGTGGGGACTCTCTGTACTTTCCACTCAACTTTGCTGTGAACCGTAAACTGTTCTGAAAAATAAAGTTTATTAATTTAAGGGCCAGAAGGTCTAAATAGAGAGTAGCAACTCACCAATGAAGGAAGGAGACTGGAGTTTAAAGACAGTTAACAAGCAGAGATTTTAGGGTCAGGGTATAAGACTGGAGAGAGACCTCCACAGAAGCAGCTCCAGACACTTGTAAAAAAAATACTCCTTGGATTCTTGGATGACTCCTAAACTGTATATGAGCAGGGCAAGATTGCAAAAGGCTATCAAAGAACACCTTCTAGGAGGCAAAGAGCCCAACAACCCAACAGAGAACTTGGCCAAAATAGGGAAACTTGGATGGCCATCCTCTCATTCATTTGAAACTTAAAAAAGGAACAGGAGCCATGCCATAGAAGAGACCCACCCTAACAGTGGCTAAAACAACCAAGCACACAGAATCAAGGTGATCTGTAAATAATCTGACTACCAAAACAAAACTCAGCGTTCTTCAAGAGGAGATAACATAATCCAGAACATCTATAACTGGCCATCCACTACGTCCAGCGTACAACCAAGAAAAGTCCTAGACATGCAAAGAAGTTAAAAACAAAAAACAAAAAAAACAGACCAACCATGAAGAGATAATTAGACAACAAAGGCAGAGACGACCCAGCTATTAGAGCTAGCAGATAAGGGTCTCAGAATAACTATAAATAATGTTCCTTAAAATAGAGAAAATGATGGAGAAAATGGATTTTAAAATTGAGTTCCACAGATAATCAGATTCTGTAAGGATATAATCAAGTAGAAATTCTTTTTTTTTTTTTTTTTGTTTAAATGATTCTCGATTTTATTTTATTTATTTATTTATTTGGCCAGGGTTGGGCTTGAACCTGCCACCTCTGGCATATGGGGCTGGCGCCCTACCCTTTTGAGCCATAGGCACTGCCCCCAAGTAGAAATTCTTGAACAATAACACAAAGTATCTGAAATTTAAGAACTTATTCTTTTCAGGACCACCCTTAAAGGATGAAGAAAAAGGTTCTTTTAAGGACATCTTAAAAGAGTAAATCTTAAAAGAAGACTCACATAACCAGAAAAAAAGATTAATGAATTGAAAGGTCAGTAGAAAACATCCAAAATATCTGATACACCAAGAGAATTTACACACAAAGACTGGAACCCAAGAGATATACAGAACGCCAACAAAGTTTCTAAAATACATGTAACTGGAATCCGAGAAGAGAGAGAATATGAAAGAAGCAATATTCAAAGAAATAACAACCAAGAATTTTTCAAAGCTGATAACCATCAGCAACCTGTTGACTCAAGAACTCATGAACCCCATGTAGGAGAAATACAAGAATAACTACACTTAGGCACATCATAGTCAAAATTCTAAAAATTGAAGATAAAGATGAAATATTAGCCAGAGAGAAAAGACCTCACTTTCAGGAGGAAAAGGCTAAAGATAGTGGCTAGCTTCCCCATGGAGTCCATGGAGTCAAAAGATCAACAATATTTTTCAAGTTTTAAGACAGAACAATACTCACCAAACTGGAGTTCCTCAAAAATGAGAGTGACTAAAGGACATTCTCAGACAAACAAGCTATGACATAAAAGTTCTCCAAGCTGGAAGAAAACAGTCCTCCTCGTGGAAATGCAGAGGTACAAAAAACAATGAACAATACTAGAAAAGGGATATAAATCAAAATGAAAGATATGCAAGACCTTGGCAACAAAAATGACAGACATTGCCGAGAGAAGCTGAAGACATAGATAAATGAGAGAAAATGCAGGGTGTGGTGGCTCACTAGTGTAATTCCAGCACTCTGGGAGGCCAAGGGAGGTGGAGCTCAAGACCAGCTATAGAGCTCAAGACCAGTCAGAGCAATAACGAGACCCTGTCTCTACTAAAAATAGAAAAAACTGAGACAAGAGGATCACTTAAGCCCAAGGACTTGAAGTTGCTGTAAGCTCTAATGCCACAGCACTCTAATCAGGGTGGCAGAGTGAGACTGTCTCAATCAGTCAATCAATCAATCATTAAAGGAAAAGTTCATATTCATGAATAAGAATACCATTTCTGTTCAGGTTCACCAAATTTACATGAACATTCCATATAATTCCAATCAAAATGCCTGGAGAATCATCATTATTTTTTTTTAATTTTTTTTGTAGAGACAGTTTCACTTTATCGCCCTGGGTAGAGTGCTGTGGCATCACACAGCTCACAGCAAACTCTAACTCCTGGGCTTAGGGGATTCCCTTGCCTCAGCCTCCCAAGTAGCTGGGACTAGAGGCGCCCACCACGACACCCAGCTATTTTTTTGTTGCAATTTGGCCGGGGCAGGGTTTGAACCCACCACCCTCGGCATATGGGGCCGGCATCCTGCCCACTTTTTGGTGGAAACCGACAAGCTGATTCTATAGTTTATATGAAAAGGCAAAAGACCTAGATAGCCAAAACAATCTTAAAGAGAAATAAAGTTGGAGGATGTATATTACCAGATTTCCAGGCTTACTATAGTTTCAGTAATGAAAACCATATGTTATTAACTCAAGGAGAGACAAGTAGACCAACAGGAACAGAACAGAGAGTCCAGGTGTTACAAAAGACAGAACAGACAGAACTGGCCTGCATTGCTGATGGGAGTACAAATTGTTTCAACCACTCTGTAAAATCACTTGCAATATTTAAGATCTATACCTCTGCCTACTTTATAGCCAAGCAATTTTACCTCTAGATATATTCTCCAGAGAAATGAGATGGTTTTACTCAAAAAAAAAAAAAAAAAGTACAATAATGTTCACAATAGCTTTATTCCTAATAGCCAAAAACCAGAAACATCCACCGAGTATACCTACTAAGGTATGCTGATATAAAGGAAAATTACAAGTTGTTACAAAATAGCTACATATGCGTGCAACATTAGTGAATCTCGCTGAGATGTTAAGGAAAGGAAGCTGGACAGAGAGGAGTGCATATTGTAAAATTGTACAAAATTCAAGACCGGAAACGCTAATGTAGGTAATAGAAGTCAGGAGGTAATTACTTCCAGAGGTAGGGGATATAATTAACTGGGAAGGAGCACAGGAAACCTTCTGAGTGAGGGGAATGTTCTGTTTCTTGATCTGGGTGGCATGTGCATGGAAGCAGGCCTATATATGCTTTTTTTTTTTTCCGGCCAGGGCTGGGTTTGAACCCACCACCTCCAGCATATGGGGCCAGTGCCCTACCCCTTTGAGCCACAGGCATCGCCCTAAGAAGCAGGCCTATATTAAAAATTCAGTGAACTGGGCGGCACCTGTGGCTCAGTGAGTAGGGTGCTGGTCCCATTTACCAAGTGTGGTAGGTTCAAACCCAGCCCCAGCCAAACTGTAGGGAAAAATAAATAAATAAATAAATAAAATGAGAAAGGAAAAAATGCTTTAAAAAAAAAAGAGTTGTTTAAAAAAATTTTTTTTCAGTGAACTATATGGCTAAGATCTGTGCAATCATAAACAATATAAAAATATTAAATAAATTTATATGTTAAACAAATTCATCGGTTGCATGAAATTATACCCAAAGTCCACATCTCTGTGTTCCCTTTGCAGACACATTTGTTACAGAAGTTTCATTACATGGAGATTATTGCTCCATAATCAGTGAGTTTTTTTTTTTTTTTTTAGACACAGAGTCTCACTTTATTGCCCTCTGTAGCGTGCTGTGGCAGCGTCACACAGCTCACAGCAACCTCCAGCTCCTGGGCTTAGGTGATTCTCTTGCCTCAGCCTCCCAAGTAGCTGGGACTACAAGCGTTCACCACAACACCTGGCTATTTTTTTGTTGCAGTTTGGCGGAGGCCGGGTTTGAACCCACTACCTTCGGTATACTGGGCCGGCGCCCTACTCACTGAGCCATAGGCACTGCCCGCCAATGAGCTTTTTATACCTCATTCCCTGCACACCTATATCCAAGTAGCAAATAAATGTTAGCTAAATTTGTTCTTTCTTTTAGATGTTATATTTCCATAAAGAAGACAGACCTGTTTAAAGAGACTCTATAAGGAAAATCATCTTTGATCTCATTATGAATATTAATGGATCTGTTTTCTTTCTTCCATGTAAATAAAAGGATGATGCTCTCAAAGGGATTTGGCTAAAATCCTACAGAAAAATGATTCAAAAACTACAAATAGCTGAAGGGAAGAGATATAAGCAGGAATCAGAGCTAGAAAAAGCAACATCTTGGCGCACATGCCCCTGATGCCAGGTGTGAGTTGCATGTAATTAACATGGAACGAGGTACTCCCCCACCTACAGCTGTGAAGGGGACTAAACCCCCCCAATGGCACAAACTCAGGACTTCTTGGGCAAAATGAGAGCAATCCATTTTAGAAATCGAAATCCAAGCCTGTGAGAGACCTCACACATTGTTCTTTCCCAAACAAAAACCCTGCTTGCTTTGCCATTTTCCAATACCATCTCAGTCCATACGGGAGAAGGTTCTCACATCCTCTGCTAGGTAGTCACTTCACTGACACCAAAAAGATAAAACTTCAAAACCTTTGCCAGCAAATAATCAGAGTCAGAGCATAAGAGGGAGGGGAGAAGAGTAGGAAAATGTGGGCAATTAGACATGGCACTGCGATTACAGCCAAAAGTCTGAGAGTCTTAGCTCACTTCCTCACCATCTTGGCTTCATTAGCAATCTCTCTCTCTCTTCCTTTAACCCTACCTTTCTCCAAAAGCTACACATACAATGGTATTCATACCTGTTTAAAACCCATCAATGGTAGCCCATGCCCTTCAACCTGAAATGCAAACTTCCTACGTGATTTCTGGGGTCCTTTCTCTCAGGCTCTTCCTCCCCATATCCTGGCTGTCTGTTCCAGCTGCACTAACTCACCTAACTCTAACCCTAAGCCTAACCCTAATCCACCACGCCTCTCCACTCTGGTCTGTACCAGCCCCTTCACCTAGAGCACTCTTCTTCTCACAGAGAATTCTATGAGCTTTCTCTGTTTTATTCCTTTAACAAATCTTTCCATATCCCTCTCTTCACCCTACCCTTCTCAGCCTCTAGTATCCTCTGCTCTACTTTCCACTTCTATGAGATCCATTTTTTTTTTTAGCTTCTACCTACGAGTGAGAACATGTGGTATTTAACTCTCTGTGCCTGGTTTGTTTCACTCAACAGTCTTCCAGTTCCAGCCACATGGATGCAAATGACATGATTTCATTCTTTTTTACGGCTGAAGGGTATTCCAGGTATACACAGACCACATTTTCTTCATTCATCTGTTGTTGGACAATCTGGTTGATTCCGTATCTTGGCTGTTGTAAACAGTGCTTAAAAAAACATGGGGGTGCAGATGTCTCTCTGATACTATATAAAATGCTTTCCTTTCCTTTGGATAAATTCCCAGAGTGGGATTGCAGGATCTTATGGTAGGTCTATGTGTATTTGCAGTTTTTGGAGAGAACGCCCCCGCACTGTTCTCCATAGTGAGTGTGCTAATCTGCATTCCCATCAATAGTATATAAGAAAGCCTTGCCAGCACCGTTATTCTCTTCTCTTTTCCATAACGGCCATCTAAACTGGGGTGAGATGAGACCTCACTGTGCTTTTGATTTATGTTTCCCTAATGGCGAGTGAAGTTAAGCATTTTTCCATATATTTGTTGGCCAATTGTATATCTTCTTTTCAGAAATGTATTTTCAGACTGTGATCATTTGAGATAACATCAGCGTCACTGTCTCCAGAAGGCCTACCCTGACTTCCCCAGTTCCCTCATCTGTGAACCACGACAATCTCAACATCAAGGCCAATGGCTGTGTTCTTCCTAAGAAAATGCATGTGAACACAAAGAAAGAATCACAATGATAATTTAGATTTAAGAATTTTAGGGAAAAAAACACTGAATTAATTTTAAGAGATATGGAGAACTCCTAAAGTCTGTGTATAAAGCAAGGTATATGATTTAAAGATTCCCCAGTGGGAATTCTGTGTGTGTGTGTGTGTGTGTGTGTGTGTCTCTCTCTTTCTCTCTCTCTCACACACACACACACACACACACATGGCATTGTTCTATTTGAGGCCAGAGCAGCAGTCAGGGGTCAGCTGATGCTAGAATACTGAGCAATAAAAAGAGCATGGTTAATATTTTAAAATATCCTCTATACATATGTTATCAAAGTCAAAAAGAACCTACAGATACATTTTGGGTTACCTCCCTCTGAGTAGCTTCTCTTCTCATACAGAATCCCCTGGGGAGGGGAAGGGAAGCCACACAAGCAAGAAATAAGTCCTAATACGAGGTAGAATAGAGTTGAGAAGCAAGCGTTTAGCCATCCTCTCTTAATTGCCACTTCCTTTTAGGACACAAATTGTGTCTGGCACACAGTAGATGTTTATCCAATAACAGATGACTCCTTCTCTAACCAAAACAATCTCTAAGTCCCAACTCAAATTCAGTACCATTAGCAGGCAGGTTTATTTATATATTTTATTTTATTTTATTTTATTTATTTATTTAAGATGGAGTCTCATTTTATTGCCCTCAGTAGAGTGCTATGGCATCACAGCTCACAGCAATGTCCAACTCCTGGGCCTAGGTGATTCTCCTGCCTCAGCCTCCCAAGTAGCTGGGACTATAATGCCCGGCTATTTTTTGCTGTTGCAATTTGGCTGGGGCCAGGTTCGAACCCGCCACCCTCACCCATGGTATATGGAGCCAATGCCCTACCCACTGAGCCACAAGCGCCTCCCAGAAGGCAGTTTTTAAAAAGGAACTTGGCCCCAGGCCACACCTTTCCATCCCCTGCACCAGCCCCAGGCAGCTTCTCCAGTCTCTAGTCCTCATTCTCTTTCACACCTGAAGTCCCAGAGCTGGAGTCTCACGCAGCTCACACTGACCTTCCCAGGCTGCCTACAACAATGCTGGAGTGCTCTCCCTCAGCTGGGTCATTTCAGTCTTCCTGTTCTTAATTTTCCCTTCTAAACTCTACCCCTTATTCCTCTCACTTTGTTATACCCAAAAGGCTAGGTGGAAATTAACAACATTTAAAACATGATGAGTATTACTGCTTCCTACTTAGGAACCTTCCCACCTGCTATAAACAAACATTCAGCATGAAGCCACAGCAAGGTGTTTACCACAGTCCATGCTACAAGCACTCTGCAAAATATAAAACTTCCATTTACTTGGTTATTTCCTTGTGCGCTCCCTGCTGCTCGGGACTTCAAAGTCTGGATTTTCTCAAAGACCAGGTTGACTTTCCTTTTAGTAGCATCGTCATTATCGGTGCTCCTGAAAAAGACACAGCAGAGAGAGCAATGAGGGACACAACCACTGGGCTCAGAATATTTTACATGCCAGCAAGAGGCTGAATAAATTAAGGGTGCAAACAAAACCAGTGTGAGAAGAGCAGGATGGATGGTATTTTTTCTTTAGATAAATTGTTCTGTTACTACTCATTTTGGAACAAGGATTCCCATTGAAAGGTGTAAGCGGTGGTGCCCAGAAATGAGGCTGCAGAGGAGATGGTCAGGCCAGGTTCACTGAAAAGAGAGTGACCCTCCCAGTACAAAGATGGCATCAGCATCTGAGGGCAGTTAGAGACCCCTTATACATGGGGTGGGGAAATTCCACAGCTCTCGGGCAAGTTAGGGTCTTTTGGCAAGAACTTCTCAGGGGGGTGGGCTAGCCAGATCCTTTGTATCTTTGTCTTGAGAGGAGGGCAGAAGAAGAAGAGAAGGGGAAAGTGTTTGTGTGTGGCTGCATTAGGCACCACCAGCACCTATTTTCAAATACGTAAAACAGACATAATCACATTCTAAATAAGCTTGGAGAAAAGCATACAGTGGGCTTGGCACCTGTAGCACAATGGTTATGGCACCAGCCACATACACCGAAGGTAGCAGGTTCAAACCTGGCCCGGGCCAACTAAACAACTCCAACAAAAAATAGCTGGGCGTTGTGGTGGGCACCTATAGTCCCAGCTACTTGGGAGGCTGAGGCAAGAGAATCGCTTAAGCCCAAGAGTTTGAGGTTGCTGTGACCTGTGACGCTACGGCACTCTACTGAGGGTGATATAGTGAGACTCTGTCTTTAAAAAAAGAAAAGAAAAGCATACATTGACAATTTAGTATTTGTTACTTGATTCAAATGACTCATTCATTCTAAAAGGAATCCTTCTTTTTCTTTGTTGTGTGTGTCTTTCATACATACACACATTTATTTTTAAACCTGACACGAAGGGTAAGCTGCAATTATCTTCACTTGTTTAGCCTCTGTTAAAAAAAAAAAAAAAAACCTAGGCCAAGACAGTTAACATGGCAGCCCCTTGCCTAGATTATGACAGGTGTTATCAGCATCAACCACACACCTAGTAATTAAAAGAAAAAGATCTAAAATAAGTTTCCTTCAACAGGTACCTCTCACTAAAGTCTGTCTGACCAGCATCTCTATAAATCATGTGCCAAAAACTTAAAAATAAAATAAATAAATAAATAATTTAAAGAACTTTAAAAATCAAAAGTTCTTTTACCTTAATGCCCTCACAGGAAGATACTGATAACTAGTTCTTAGCTAGGAGAAATCTTACTGGTTACTTTTTCCTCCTTTTTCAATGACTTCCTGTATCATATTTTCAACCTGAGTATTCTGCCAGCTCTATAATACAGACAAATAATTGTAAGGCAAAATACAAATATATAAAATGTTTCTACATTAATCAGTATTTGCCGAGCGGATGATTTTCAATCATGTCAGGCTGAAAAGGTTTTCTTTTTCTTCTTCTTAATCGTATCTGATAAGAGAACTGAAACAGAAACTTCAAATTCCTTGTCTAGAATTCTAGCACAGTTAGTATCTAAGTAAGGACTGACACCCAGATTATTCCAGCTCAACCCCCAAGATAAGTCCGGAAAGCCCTGCTTTTAAATGACTCCCACATACTTTAAAATAACGGAAGCAGGGGCTCCTGGGCAATGTTAGCTGTGGGGAGGGGAGGGGGGTTTCACTTGCAACTTCTGAGGAGGAGTGGCTGAGATTGCCATGAAGGAACGAACACGAGGGGATGGTAGACGAACTCAAACCTGACCTGCAGACATTCTTCCTATCTTTGAGTTTGCTTTGGAAACTGTAAAGCGTCATTTAAAAACAAAATCATTCTTATGAGTTCAAACCAGCCTGAGCAAGAGTGAGATCCTATCTCTACTAAAAATAGAAAAACTAGCTGGGCATGTGACAAGTCCTTATAGTCCCAGCTACTTGGGAAACTGAGGCAGGAGGATCTCTTGAGCCCAAGATTTTGAGGATGCTGTCAGCTATGATGATGCCACAGCATTCCACTCAAGGTGACAGAGTAAGACTGTTTTAAAAAAACAAAACAAGGCCCCACGCCCCAGCTCACTAGCGTCCACTGTGCCTCTCAGCCCAGACTTTAATAGACCTTGCCAAAAATGCCATCTCAGATGGAGCACACCATGGAAACGATGATGTTCATATTTCACAAATTTGCCAGGGATGAAGACTACTTAACAAAGGAGGACCTTAGAGTATTCATGGAGTTGTTCCCCAGATTTTTGGAAAATCAAAAAGACCCTCTGGCCTTAGACAAAATAATGAAGGACCTGGACCAGTGCCGAGGTGGCAAAGTGGGCTCTCAGAGCTTCTCTTCCCTAATTGCGGGCCTCACCACCGCAGGCAACGACTATTTTGTAGTACACATGAAGCAGGAGAGCAAGAAGTAGGCAGAACTGAGCAATTACTCTGCCCTGAAAAGTTTTCTCTCAAAGAATTGCTTCAGACATCTGTCCCACAGCTTCTTCCCATATTAGGATTTCATGAGCAGATCAGGATCCTTAGAATATATACAAATAAGGCTCGGCGCCTATAGCTCAACCGGCTAAGGCGCCAGCCACGTACACCTAAGGTGGCGGGTTCAAATCCCCAGCCCAGGCCCGCCAAACAACAATGACGGCTGCAACCAAAAAATAGCCGGGCGTTGTGGCGGGCGCCTGTGGTCCCAGCTACTTGGGAGGCGAAGGCAGGAGACTCGCTTGAGCCCAGGAGTTGGAGGTTGCTGTGAGCATGATGCCATGGCACTCTACCCAGGGGGACAGCTTGAGGCTCTGTCTCAAAAAAAAAAAAAAAAAAAAAAAAAGAATATATACAAATAAAATCCAACTCCCATTGGTCAAGCAGAGAAGGCAAAGTTAATTAAATGCCAGATAAGCTTTTGATTTTTATATTGTTTGCATCCCCTTGCCCTCAATAACCATAATCCTTTCTTTGGTTCCAAATTAAAAAAAAAAAAAACCTAAACAAATATATGATCATTTTTAACTTTTAAAGTATAGTGAGTGCCCTTTCCCACACTCCCCTGTCCGAGCTCCTGCCCCCACCACCCAAGACTCATATGCTATAATGAAAAATTCAGCCATTGAGTCTTTTCCTTCAAAGGGCTCACACAGGGCAAATGGAAAAGTAAAAGACACAAAGCCTCAGAGAAGGAAATTAAGAACCCCACAGAAATGACAATGTTTTGCTTTTTAAGGAAAATCACTAACCCTTCTTTGAGGTAATTGTAAAGTATTTGCTTGGCCGTCTCCTCATTGGTTTGCTGAGTGAGCTCTTGCTGGCCCTTTAAGAGATCTGGTGTGGCCTGGAACAGAATATCAGTTATTAGACCACTAGACATTTCCAGGAGAAGGCAAAACCCTGAAGCCGAGGCTTCTAAAGGCATTGCACCTTCCCCCAAACAAGTCCCCAGGTAAGCATCCTCATTATTACAGTGACACACTGAGCTCTGTCACCTTAGGCAAGTTCCTTAACTTCTCATCTCAACCCTGTCACCTGTAAATTGGGGTTAATGGCACCTATCTTCCCAGGCCTGCTGCAATCCTATAACACCCAACAAATAGTGCCTAGCGCTTACCCACCTTATTATCGTTTTTATCAATATCATTATTTTTTTATTGTTACTACCAAAACACTCAAGGTACCACTTAAATCCCATCACTTTACAATTAACCTAAATTAGGATTAACCTAATTTCTCAGGCTAGAAATTAACCCAGTCCCTCATGAGGGACAAACATAACCACTGAAGCTCTGTGAGGAAAGGAATTTTACATACTCTCAGCTGTCACACATATAGGTGTACAAACAGAAGATGGAGCCTCTGTCTAGCCTTGGACAATTTCCTTCACAGAGAGATCACAATGGGAATCTAGTTCTACTCGAGCGAACCCAGAAAACTATACAATTGGCAACAGGACATCACTGGTAGGGCATAATCTGACCTAAAATATCAGATGTGCGATTCCCGATTCAAGACTGAGAGGCAGCGTGTTCCTGTAACCTCCTGCCACATGGGTACATCATCTAATCACTTAGAGGAAAAAAGCAAAACAGGAATCACACCGGTGTTACCTGAGTATTTGAGGGGGAAGGAAATGTCTTCACGGAAATTTTCTTGGCACCCGAATCTGATGCAGTTGCTGCCACCCGATTCTGTAACATCAGCGTAGCAGTGGCTGTTTTTATTTCTTCCTCCTTTTTACTCTGTGCTGGGAGGGAGGATGCACGAATCGATGGGCTTTCCTGACTGCCTTTGGCTTCCAGAACTTTCCCACTTCTATTCTGCTGGGGCAGCCCAGGGTGGGCGCACTGAGCCCCAAGCGCGGCTCCGGGCAGCTTGGCACAGGCGCGGCCCACGCTTTGCTTCCCACGGTGCTCCTGAGACGGCGTCCTGGGCGGGCACACCTGGGACGGCCGGAGCAGGTGTTCGCTGGACTTGCCCAAGTTCCTACTAAATTCGGTCAGGTACTCGGAGTTCCCTTGGAGACCGAAGGGAAAGGCGCTGTCCACGCTCCTGGATCTCTTCCTGTCATCTGGATTGATTCTGTTCCTCTTCCCCGTCCTTCCCCTCCTCTGAAGCCCAGGTTTTTGATCAAATTTTTCAATTAACTGATCCACGCCTGGAATTGATCCCGTATCAATATCCCGCCCGGTTCCTGGCAAGAAGGGGATGTACCTTCTATTTTCATGACGATTGACATTGTCAGCATGGATGGCGCAGTCCTGATCGTCCAGTAAAAACCTGTACAGAGAGGTGGCTGAAGTGGGAGTTGCTGATGACGAGGAAGACCTCCGGGACCTAGCACCATCCAGGACCGGTCCGGCAGAATCCTGTCGCCGGATGGGAAGAACATCGGGCCTGGTTTTCTTGGTTTCGGGGTGGGTGTGTGGGCTGTGGGCAGGTAGAGGCCTCCCACCAGGGGGAAGGGCCTCTTCTCCCACCCCCTCCTTGGTGCAGCTCTGAACGTTTACACACACTGAGGTCTGCTTTTTGGGGTCATCGATGACCACGGAGCTGCACAGACGAATGGCCGTCACGTTGGACCTTGTCAGGTCTTCCAAGGGAAGGCTGGTAGGCTGGGAATTGCTGGGTTTGGGGAAGCAAGTCCAAGGCTTCTTATTGTTGGTACCTTCGTCTGCTAACGTTTTCAGCCAATTACTCTCAGGAGGTTGGTGGTTTTGTAAGTTCAACTCGCTCTTTTCAGGGTCATAAGGCTGCAAAAGCTCGGGATGCCTCTGAAAGTTCAGCACATGGGATGTCTTCGCTGGCCCATCTTTGCCATCTAGAACTCCATTCTTGCCCTCATGGAGAGAGGGCTGTTTGGGGTTTTTTATAGGGCTGGGCTGGGCATATGGATTTTCTGGGAGCTTCAATTCTGCACTGTTCCCGGTTAGCACAGAACTGTTGCTGGAATGTAGAGGAAGGTTGTTTATCACTGGAGATGAGAATGGTGGCCCATTTTCTGAGAAAGACGAGCCTGCTAGACACCGCTCCGTGTTATTCAGGACTATGTAGGGGTGGCCATCAATCCCCTGGACCCTAATGCTGACACCATAGGAGCCCGTCTTGGGGTGCTGGGAATTCCTTGACCTCTTGGTTTCGTCACTTGCGAGTCTCAGATGGACCCCATACTCCTGCTGCACATGCTGATATTCTCCAAAATATAGCTCCATGGTTCACTGTTCCAGCTACCAGGGAGAAACGAGGACATTAAGTTAGAATTACACCTGTTTAAATAATGATTGGAATCATTATGAGGGCGAAACTTCAAAGTTCAAAGAAAACAAGACACTTTAAACAGCAAAGACACTTCAGAGCCAAATGCTGAACGGCAGCCCTTCCCTGACCCGGACCTGTCCAAACAAGCCCTTCTGGATGCCCTTGAGCCCACGTGACCACTGTTGTCTGTCAACTCTGGGGCCTAAACCCTGGCCCGGGGCTAGACAACTGGTGTAATGACCTGACACCTTGGGCATAATTTTATTATTCTGTTTCTAGCTTACGGCTGATTGGGCTGCCTTTTTTTTTCCCCTCAAACTTTATGGAATTTATTTTTAACCAATAGGATGTTCCACCTACCAGCAATTGAGAATTAGGTACTTTTCCATGGAAATAATTAAAAGGTAAGGAATTCTGATGCTCACCATTCTCCTTTACTCCTATTCGGTTAATTTTCCTCTCAAAACACTTTGAGGCTCTTTTTAACGCACCATCTTGCTTTGAAATCTTTAACATTAATTATTTCAATATTCAATGCTTAAAACATTTTTACTCTAAGCAATCAGTTGTTTGTGAAACTGGCAGTGAGATTAGAATTATTAAAAATAATTTTCAGGGCTCAGCGCCTATAGCTCACCCGGCTAAGGCGCCAGCCACGTACACCTAAGGTGGCGGGTTCGAATCCCCAGCCCAGACCCGCCAAACAACAATGACGGCT